ATACCTGGTATACATTTATTAGTTCATTGGAGTTCTGGTGGCACAGTGGTTAAGCGTTCATCTGCTAATGAGAAGATCAGCAGTTCAAATCCACCAGCTGCTCCTTGGAAACCCTATGCGGCAGTTTTACTCTGTCCTGTAGGGTCACTATGAGTCTGAAACAACTTGACAGCAACTGGTTTGATTTTATTTTTTTTATTTAAAAGTGCATAAAAGTCAATGCCAGTGTAGGTGAAGTTAGATGTTGTAGCTTAATTTGCAGAAGCTTTTGGAAAATCAATTAAGTGTTGTGTGTTAAGATCCTGGAAAGGTTTTATACCCATCTGGTAAGTTATCTTTAGGGAAGAATATATTGACAGATGATTTTTATAAAAGAGTTTTTTATTTCAGCATGATTTATAATTTAGAAATTTGAATTCAGCATAAGTATTCAATATTAAAAGAGGATTATAATTGTATAGTTAATTTATAGAATATTAAACTCATTAGTCAATGCTCAATTACGTGAAAACATTTTAAACATTTTAAATAGGGTGATTTAATGGAGGAGATTGGTAACAGAGGGGCCAAAAGGGCTGGAAGGGAAGGCTGGAGAAGCAAGGGAAAGGAGTGTTGTTACCCCAAGACCAGAAATATGTGTTATATAATGAGATTCAAAGGAAAAAGCACATTTGCCTTTTCCATAAAAATAGATGAGATGAACTAGTTCCACATGCTTATCACCACAGAGAGCTGATGGAGATGCTGTGCTTCTGAGGCTGCTAGTGGAGCCCACAAATGCTGATGAGTAGTAACACAGATGCTGCATTTGCACCAGTGAAGCTGAAATTGACTTCAGGGTGATGGAGCCCACAGCCCTCACATGATCCCCAGTTGGCCACAGCTGCTGCTGGGCTGCCAGAGACCATCACCTGAAGCAGGAAAAGAAGAAACTCTTCTTTTCTTCCTCCACCTTCAGGTGTTCCCCCAGTTCCTCCACTCTCAGAGCCTTCAGGAGCCAGTTCACAGAGAAGTCAGGAAGTATTGTCTACAAGCTGGAGACCTGAAGATTCAGAGGAAAGTACCTCAGGTAAGTGTGGACCTGATGAACAAAAGATACCCTCTGGACAAAAGCTATCACGATAAGCCATGTCTTTCAAAACTCTTTAACACAGCAAGAACATGATCAAAATTCTTCCCAAACCCACATGCAGATAAAAGATTCAGAAGAATTTGGCTCCAAGAGGGTAGGGACTGTTTCAGTCTTGTTCCCTGTTTTATCCTACGTGCCTGGCATATGGTGTGCATTCAATAAACATTTGTAGTTTGAAGGCAACATATGACTTTTAAACAGTGTTTTTGTCTGGATAATTATATTATGGTTAATTTTAAAATCTTCTTTATACCAGTTTGTCTTTTTAGATTGTTTGCAATTAGACTGTTAGCATTTATAGTAAAAGCAAGTACTTCAAAATTAAATGCAAAAACAAAGGAATATAGATTGAAAAAGAACAACCATTAACCTAACGAAGAGTGATAAAGACAAAGATGTGAAGGAGACAACCTCAGTCCTGGTTGTGACCACAGTACTGATTAGTGGGGTTATTTTTAACATGTCAGTTGAATTCCGAGTTTCAGATTCTATAACTGTGAAAGATGAGAACAATAACAATATCTTATAAAATTTTCTTCAAGATTAAATGAGGATACATACACACAGATACTTTGTAAAGTGACAAAGGCTATATATAAACTAACTCATAGTTCATAGATAAGATTTTATTGATAATGGTGATATTTAAGACTATTCTTAATATTTGTTAAGATTTTAATATACACTGAGTTTAACAATAAAAGGAGATAAAAAGACATGAGAAGAAAAGAAAAAAAGTGCCATGGAGATATCTATTAGCTTCTCTAACCCTCTTAGTTGCATTCTTCTTCAGTGTCCCATAGGGGATTTATCAACAGAAACTTTCATCCATTCCCCTAATGGAAAGAGAAAAACCAGGGATGATGTCACTTCTCCACTTCTCTTTGCAAACTTAAGCATGACCACACTTCACTAACCCATGTGGATGAGACATGTACATCATCTGATGGTGGTTCAACCAGACATATAGACAGAATTGCAGGAGCAAAAGGTATAGAGTCCTCAAATCGTTGTTCTGTTCTAATACATCCTAAGGGTTCTGAACAACATTTCCTCAATATCTACCTATTTCTTATAATCTACCTTTATGGAAAAAAACAAATGTGCTTTTCCGTTTGAATCTCTTTATAAAACACTTATTACTGCAACATACAAGGAAATGGGTTTTTGATTTCCAATTATTTATGGAAAAAACAATATCTATTTTTCCTACGCTTTTGGATGATGTTTTTGTTTTTCTAAGACTGAAATTTTACAGAGGAAAAGTGACTGATTTTACTTCCAGTGGGAATTATCTCTGATAGTTAGGAAACACTGGAAACAAGCATCTGGGTCATATTTTTGTTTCTCTGATTAAACTACCAGTGGGTGGCCTAAAATCCAAATTGAAGACTGTGAGGGGTAGAACTGGGTGCCTGAGAGCACTGAGGCAGAGTTACAGGCTCTGAGCCCTGCATCTGGGCTAAGATATAAGTCTTTTCTGTGGCCACTTGTGTGATCATAGGCAGGTAGGCATAGAACCTGAATTTTCTAATCTGTGAAAATACAAAATAAGTTTCTCATAGGTTCAGGGATGATTAGCTGGTAAAACACTACAATTCATGAGCTGCAGTGAGCTCCAAAGAAAGGTTCTGTATTGCTCTGCCACCACTATTAATGATTTCCTAAGTTAAACATGCACTAAGCTGTTGACATTAAACTCAAGCAATTGGACTGAGTAAGAATAAACAAGGAGGCATAAAGGGTGAAGACACTGTGTCCTCTCCTCTGCCTGGTGTCCTATGTGAACTATTCAACACAGCTTGATGCCAGTGACCCCATTCACCAAACTGCAGGATAGATTTGCTAGCACCCATCTGCTACCCTCCTGCTCTCCCTCCACCCCACTGCTCCATTCATTCAGCAAATAGCTTTGAGGTCTTCATGAGTGCCAGACTCTGCGAGAATCCTCACTTCATTTCCATTGCCCATAGAAACTAGATCAGCAGGTGTGTTTTACAGCGTATAGGGCTGTTTTTAACTTTTGCACAGAACTCAGCTTCCATCTGCCAGTGGGGGGTGGGATTTGATTATACTTTTGCTTATACAATGTGTCCCAGATTTTATGATATTTACATCAAATCTAGTTGCATCATTGCCTACTACATCAGCATGCCAGAACTTAAAATTTAGAAAGTTGACTCTCATAAGTAGTCTTCGGAATTAATTACAAGTGTGAACACATATTTGAAACAGTTGTAAACTCTTCCTGAAATATCTCTGCATCATAACCACTTCTAAACTCTTCCCATCAAGAGGATCTGATATTTCCTTCCTGCTGGTAAGGAATTTTAAAATTCAATATTTAGAAATTGAAAAGTTACAAAGATTTAATTTCCTTAAGAGAAAATGTAGAAGATGCTTTTATTGATTCGTTTTAAAAGACCAGTTGTATTTTGAGTCTATTGCTTTTTTTTCTTTTATTTTGTACCCATTTTCAATTCTACTTTAAATCACATTTATATAAGCTTTTTTTTTTCCTGCGTAGACAAACTTTGACTTCCTTAAACATAAGTTTAATCTATCTTCTATTTGTGTTCAGAGTCTAACACAGACACAGGCTGTAAGAAGCAAGATAGAGGAGGACAGCAGTAAATTGGAATCAGAGACATCTCAGTGTTTTTCAATTTCTCTCTCTGCATCTCTGTTCCCATGAGAGATGGACTGTGAGGAGCAATAAAGCTGACGATGTTTGTGAAAACAACTAAAGCCTTGTCTGGTGAATGTCAGTGACCCTCTAAATGCTAGTTCTTCCCTCTTCCCTGAGATTTAGAGCAAATAATAGGAGATGATGGAGATGAATCTCACCTTGGGGAAGCATGCAGTTGACAGAAACAAAATGGAATTCTCTATAAACCGTCACTTTAACAGAAAAAAAATAAAATAAGTGAACACATTGTTTGGACTACAAAAATTATCAGACTAGAATTTTTAAAAATATGACTATGATACTGAAATTGGAGAACTGACTTAATATAGCTCAGATCGTTAGACAACAATAGTGAAAGCCAACTCTTACATAGCTTCTGCACACTAATATGATTAGACATTAACTGTCTGAACTAACACCTTATGTGTTTGTTCATCTATGACAAGTAATGTTCTAAGTATTGTCATTATTTTACCTACTTTATTTCTTACCGCACATTAAGGTCAAACTTTATTCTTATCCTCTCTTTATGTAGAGTGGATAGAGGAATGGAAAGTTTAGTAAACTACTTGAGATACAGTGCAGGTAGAGGGGAAGCTGAATTCATGGCCCCAGTCTGGCTGCAGAGTTTGTACCCCTCACTCTTTGCCCCTCAGGTTCTATAAGGGCTTAGTCATGCCATGAGAGTTTTAAGATCCCAACTTAAAAAAAGAGCAGTTAATTCAATTCCAATTTCCATAACAAACACTCTAGAAATAAGGAATTTGATTTCTCTCTTTGTGCCTCTCATCCTCTTCTTTTTCTCAATGATTCACACTTTGTGTTGCATGGGGCAATGATTTTTCAAGTTCCCACTACATGTTGATAGAGGTCACCTTCATCAGAATACTTCATTACCCTGAACTGTGGCAACTTCAGTGTAAGCTACAATTCTTTCAACCCACAGTTGTGAATTCACTTATTTTTCTGGTAAATTTGTTTAATTACAAGCACTTTATAACCCCAAATTGACACAGAATTCCTACAATCCATGAAACTTTCTCCTGTTGGCATGAATGAGTTGAGGTGTGTGCACATGTCCACACACACACAGCACCAAATCTACATTTCAGAGGGTTACATCCTTATGAGTGATCCATGTAACCTCAAAGCTCCCCTTGATGCCCTAGATGAAACCTCATGGACAATGCCACGTGGCTGGCCAACCACACTGGAAGGTCTGATTTCATCCTGTTGGGATTCTTCAGTCAATCCAAACATGCAACTCTGTTCAGTGTGGTCACTTTTGTGATTTTCCTGACGGCCTTATCTGGAAACACCATCCTGATCTTCCTGATACACTCTAATGCCCACCTCCAGACTCCTATGTACTTTTTCATCAGCCAGTTATCTGTCATGGATGTGGTGTACATTTCTATCACTGTGCCCAAGATGCTCATGGACCAGGTCATGGGTAAAAAAAAGATATCAGTCCCCGAATGTGGGATACAGATGTTCCTCTACTTAACTCTAGGAGGATCAGAAGTTTTCCTTCTAGCTGCTATGGCCTATGACCGGTACATGGCCATCTGCCATCCACTCCGTTACCCTATCCTTATGAACCATAGGATATGTCTCCTTCTCGTATCTGGCTGCTGGTTCTTGGGCTCAGTGGATGGCTTCTTGCTTACCTCCATCACTATGACCTTCCCCTTCTGCAGATCCAGGGAGATCCATCACTTCTTCTGTGAGGTCCCTGCCATAACAAAGCTCTCCTGCTCTGACACCTCACTCATTGAGACACTCATGTACCTGTGCTGTGTCTTCATGATCCTCATCCCTGTGACAGTCATTTCAAGCTCCTACTCTCTCATCCTCCTCACCATCCACAGGATGAACTTGGCAGATGCCTGGAAGAAGGCTTTCACCACTTGTTCCTCCCACATGACTGTGGTCATCCTCTTCTACGGGGCTGCTATCTACACCTACATGGTCCCCAGTTCCTACCACACCCCTGAGAAGGACATAGTAGTATCATTGTTTTACACTATCCTCACTCCTGTGCTAAACCCTTTAATCTATAGTTTTCGGAATAAGGATGTCACAGGAGCTCTGAAGAAAATGTTGAATGTGGGACCTGACTTTCAAGAAAGTATACAGTAGGAAATTTTGGTAGTAACGGTTTCTTCTCCTTCTCTTTACACATCAGAATTTTAGGATCTTATGTCACTGTTATTCCTCAGTCTCTCATAACACGGCATCTCATCTCATTTTCACCCTCATTTTTTTTGTTTTCCTTTATGTAGTTGTTTCACTGTACTGTCCTATTATTCTGTAATAGATTACTCATATTCTTAGGAAATGCATAATGAAATTATTTAGAAGTAAAAGTCACATGGACTCTCAGAGAGGGAAAGAAATGGTGAAGCTACAGGAGAAAAATATTAACAATACGTGAGTCCAAGTGAGGTGAATTAATTACTTTTGTGTGTGATCTTTATAGCCATGGTCTTGTAACTCTCACCCAGGTGATTGTGTGATACGGTAATTGTGGTCTACCAAGTGGATTTGTTAGTTTTGCCTTAAAAGAGAGCCAATTCCAGAATAGAGAGGAGGAGTCCACCACCACCAAGGAAGGAGAGACCAGCAGGAGGAGACAGTATGTTGCACTTCTGGACCCATGGAGAGAAAAAGCTGAGTGCCCTTGGGCAGAGACTCAGGGTCAGGGAGAGGCATGCCTGCGAGCACAGCTGGGGAGAGGCTGTCCTGATGAAAGAACTTTATCCTGAGTATTCCTGAGCCTGAACTGTAACTGATACTTCCCTTATAATAGACCCCATAATCGTGAGTATTGTTTGTGAGTTCTGTGTGGCCATTGCAAGGAATTATTGAACGCAACAGAGAAGTAGAGAGTGCTGTGTGAGGGACAGTTGGGTCAGAATTAGTAAAGATAGCTGAGAGAGGAGGCTTGTCTGGCCTCTGCCTCATGGGAGTCAGCCTTGCACTGTTGATCTTGGTTCTTCTTCCGCCTTGTGGGATTGGAGGAGGTCAGACACTGCCCCTACACCATTGTTACCGTTGGTTTCAGGAGTGGAATTCTTTGCAATGGCTACAGACTTGTGAAAGCATGGTACTTTGTAAGAGAAAGAATGAAGGGGCTTGGGAAGTGAAATTTTTGATTCTTAAATGGTTACTTTGGTTGTTGTTACCTTCGATGGCTGAAAAGAACGTTATGCTGCAGCTGAGGGGAGAAAAGCTCCACCTGGAGAGGCCTGGTGCCAAAGCCTGGCCAGATGAGCAGGATGATTGATAGGGGGCCAGGGTTTTCTGGTTCCACCCTGCCAGAAGCCTAAGGACATATACATATGAATGGGAAGATAGTTAAGGTGTAGAGAAGACTAAACTGGAATGTTTTAAAATGGTTATGTGTTAGGATTTTAAAACGGTTGTGTGTTAGGATTATGCATTAATCTAAATGTACTATGGATATTGTACTATGGATATTGAATGTTTCTTCTACCTTATGTTGTAAAGCAGACCTAAATGTATGATAGAAATGACTATTGGTTATTATCGATTACAGAGAGCATGTAACTCCGCCTTCAGCCAATACTTAATTGGATATGCTAAAAGGGAACTAGGATTTGCCTGGAAGAAACACAGGATTTTTGTTTCAAGCCAGTATTACCAAGCAGGAATGGTAAATCTTCCAATAGTGCCTTCTTTCCTGCTGCGTTTTTTAGCCTCATTTCTTGCCCTTCTGTGACCCAAGATTTTACAAACAGTAGTCAAATGAACAGATATGCATTTTAGAAATGTTACATCGGTGATAATCAATTGGAGAAGTGCACAAATGGAGGCAGGGAAAGCAGGTGAGTTATGGCGAACCGAATGACATTGATACAAGTGGAACCACACCTTACTACCATGAGGGGCTGAGGGGGCAGGTATCAGGGGTAAGTGGGTCTTGGTGACTATGGTAAATAAAGTCACAAACCTGGTTTTGTGTCTACCATTTCACAGTTGACCATGGCCAACTTGTGAAGAATTGGGTGATTTCAAAAGTCAAATTCCCTTTTCCCACTGATATACCCAATTATTTCATGACTGTAAAATAAGAATCTTGCAGTTTTGGGAAAAGATGTCGGAAAGCCAGTTTACAATATTTTTGAGGCAGTCAAACTGACTGAATAAAATATGCACGCTCTTTAACTTTTGAAAAATTGAGACGTATATGTATTTCCCCTCAATTTGCTAGACCACAAGCAATAAACACATTTGATGGTTCCATTTAAAAGACTCTAAAAACATGAAAAAATGAAACTACTGAGGGAAGGAGTCAAAACATATTCTTCCAAAGATGAGTTTTTGACTCTATCTCAACCCAAAATGGTTTAGATAGAAATATTTTTAGAAAAATGAATTTTAGAAAACCTATTAAATACAATTTTTAATAGCCTCTACTAATAAAAATTTATAATTACTGTGCAGTCAGGAAAATTCTTGGTCAAGTTATATATAGTATCTAATACATAAACTTGCTAGACAGGAAAAGACTATTACTGCTCCCAATTTCTTGCACCCAGAGTTCAAATACAGAAATTAAAAAAATTCTGGCAACTTCATTTCCTACTGTTTCAAGTAAGTAGCAGTGTACTGAAGTATTTAAAGATTTTCAAACTTTAGAATTTATTCATGTGTTCAAGCTTGTGATGTTACCAACATTTGACCAAATTAATTGCTTCTGCCCCATTGATAACAAGGCTTCTGGATTTCTGTATCTCCTAAAGCACACTAGGAACTATGATTGGAATTCATCACCAAATTTAGGAATAACTCAACACGTGACTAAGTACATAAGTTTGAATTATTTTTCACAAATTGTCTGCTTTCTTAAGTGTGTTCAGAGGATAGAGATTGAAGAAACAGAATAAGCAGATCATTTTCTAGGATGGATCAGGAAATGAGACTTAACAAAATTAGATGTCTCAAAATTCACATTTAATAGTGTTTTCTTTGCCTTTTTTTCTCTTTATTATTTCATAAACACATTTTCTGTGCTTGACACTGAGTTCAGAAAATGTATAAAGCTCGAACATTATTACTATGAAGAAGTGAGAGTTGTATAATTCAAACTGCTTTTTTAATCAGAAAATAAAGTATTGACCTACAACATGCTTTTTGTTTTCTTTTTTCTTTTTCACTTAGTAACCTATCTTAAGTATCTATCCAGTTCAGTATATGAAAAATGGGTTACATTCAACAAGATGGATATGTCATCAATTTTAAAATAGTCTATTAATGGGCATAACTGTGCAGTGATTTAATCTTGAAAACTATTATTCAGGAAAAACTGTCTTGGGACTTCCAGTAACATGGCGCTCTAGGCAGAAGCACCATGCCGTCCCTCCACAGCAAAGATCTGAAAAACTAAGCCTAACAGAGAAAAAAGCAATCATGAAACCCTAAACATCAAATGAAGAGATAAAGAACTCAGCCAAGCACCAATCGGAATAAGAAACTGACACAGAACAGAGAGCGAGGAGACATACACTGAGAGGTCCCCATCAGCTAACACAGCACAGATCTGCCATCTTGGACTCCTATCAGATACCAGCAAATAGGGGGTATGAGAAAGCAGCCTCACAGAGCTTCCAGAAGGAGACCGAGCAACCAGTAACTGGCAATATATGCTTTCCCACCCCCCACCCCTCTTCACCCCGACTCAGCCTCCTCTGTTCCTGCGGCCACAGTCTCTTGGCCAGGAAGCATCAGCTGCTTGGATTCCATCCGCCCCCACTGGGCAACTCCCTGAGTGCCATTTGTTGGCTGCTGGTGTTGCTTTTACTGCTTCTTTTGATTTCTTCCTTACCTCTCACCACCTCCCCCTCCTTTCACTCAAACATCTGGCTCTGTGCACCATCTTTGCTTCTTCCTGAGGGGCTATGGAGGTCTGTTCAAGTGAGGAGCTGCTTCCCGGTCCGCACTGCCACGCTGGTGGGATCCTGGAGCTTTTTTCTATTTGTTTGTTTTGAAATGTTTGTTTGTTTTCTTTTTCTTCTCTCGAATTGGGAGCCCGTTCTGACCGGGCAGTGCTGCGCGGCTTGGGACCTACCCCCTCAGCTTGCACAGACACACATAGGGATCCCTGAGAGCACTTCTTTTTGTGTGTTTTTTTTTTTTTCCCAATTTTTGGGGGGAGGTCTCTTGTTCTTTTTTTTTTAATTTGTTTTGTTTTCTTTTCCCTCCTTTTCCATTTTTGTCTTTCTTCATTACTAAGTTTCTCATCTCTCTATGCCTTCCTTCTCTTCCTGTCCCCTGAATACCTGGTGCTGAATACCTCTACGCCTCCTAGCCAGGCTGTACTTCAACACCTGAAAACAACTTCCCCAGATCTCATAGCCTCACCGGTGGGATCCCTGGGAGCTTTGCTGTTCTTTTTTCTTTCTAAGTTTTATTTATTCATTCTTTTCTTTTTTTCTTCTTCTCCTTTATGTTTTTCTCTATTTCATAGTCTCTCATCTCTCCACTCCAATGGCAAGTTACCCTAGCACTCTTTTTTGTTTGTATGTTTTTGGCTTCTGTTCCTCTCTCCTCTCTCCCGTACCCATCTTAGCACTGCACATCACAATCTTCCCCCTCCATCCTACCTGCCTGCACCATGCACTTCACATCACACCACCAAGCAGCACAGGAATGACCTACCAGAATCTGCCCTGCACTGATTACTGACCCGCCCTAGTGGCTGTAGGAAGTGCCAGAAACAACCCATCCCAGCAACTCCTCTTCAGCTAGATCTGCCCTGCTGTACCATATCTGAGCAACTGACCCGGCCAATTGGAGAAGGAAGCGAAAAGTATTGTACCCACAGGTGAGCAAACAATAAAGAACACACAGCCCACCTGCTCAGACATAGCCAAATTAAAAAAAGACAAAACAAACAAATCTATAATCAATAAATGAGAAAAATAACTACTGAATGCTCTGAAGACAGCAGACACTACCAAACATTTACAAAAACAGGATAGGATGGTTCCAGTAGGCGTCCGAAATAAAACACCAGATGACTTTTCAGTAGAAGAAAAGGCACTGGAACTACCTGATAGGGAATTCAAATCTCTAATACTCAGAATTATCCAAGAGTTGAAGCAAAAACCAGACAA